TGATGGAAAAGCAAATTCCCTTTCTTTTATCAATGAGAGCAGTTCATTCTCCTGTACGTTTGGAAAGGACTGTTGGGCAAGATGAATCTGCATTTAGTGGAGTAGAATCTTGCAAGGCTTAATAGGAATTAAATATGGAAGAGCTTATGATGTAAGATGAAGGAATTCACCGGCAGAAACCTATGTTTCTGTCAAATAAATGAGATATTTTATTGCAGGTGTTCTAATTACATTGATTTTTATCTTCAGAAAGGTACTCATTGCTTGATCGACAAGAATTCCATTAAGAAATATGAGAAAATGGCAAAGCAAACAAAAGAAAAGAAGGAAGAGCCCAAACAGTTGAATGTTCTTTTCCATCCATATCTCATAGTTATTTATTATTTCTTCAGCTAATTTCATTGAGTTTATAAATGTGCATTAGTATGTAATCTGTGTATGTATGATCCTTATGTAAAAAAAAAAAAGAAAAAGAAGAAGAAAAGAGAGAAAAAGAAAAAAAAACTATGCTCTTATTTTCGAACCCTTGTTCTCTTTCCTACCTTGCATGCGTGTCGAGTCGGTGGTCTGCCTATACACGCTTTTCTCTAGCGTGGTGGGAGGGAACCGGCGCGACACCTACGACAAGGTAGGAGAGAGCCTCTCGGTTCCAAAATCATATCTCGCGTTCGGGCGCACCGGAAAACTCGCCTATACACGCTTTTCCTCTAGCGTGGTGGGATGGGAACCCGTGCGACACCTAGACGATGATCGGGATATTCATAAGTACTCGCTCGCGAGGAAACAACTTTTTTTATAAGTACCCGCTCGCGGGGAAACAACTGCTTCTCTTTTGCAACAGGTACCGAAGACCCATACACGCCTTTCTCTGGCGTGGTGGGGGGGGGGCGACGATTACACGGCCGCGGTGTCCTCATACGAGGGCACCTACCGTACACGCTTTTCTCTAGCGTGGCGGGAGGCCCAGTTTTCCGTAGTTTTCCCCTAAAACGGGGAACGCCGGGAGGCTGCCGAAATTTTGACTGAAGATTCAAGGACTTGGACAAAAAAAAAGGGACATGGACTAGAACTTGAACTTGTGAACCTTTGAACAAGATTGAGATTAATTTGAATAAAAATTCAAATTGAAATTAAATTAAATTTGAGCCTAAATAAATGTTGAGCAACAAAGGATTTAAACCAAATGAACTAATTATTGTAGACATGAGCTCAAATTGGCCTCATGCTTGAACTTTATAAGCTTTGAACTCAAAGAAATGAGTTTGGATTGAACTCAATTTGGACTTGAGCTTCATTCAAGAAAATGCTATACAATGATGTTGAAATTGGAATAGCAATAATCTATAACTTTAATTTCAATTTGGATTAAAGCTTAATATAAAAAAATCAATTAAAATCTTGAATTATGATTGATAAAATCAAAGATTCAAGCATGAATTAATCATATGCTTTAACATGATATTTTTGGACAATAAAAAAAATTTGCAATTATCATGAATGTTGGTGGCACATAAAAAAAAAAAAAATATGGATTGATTACAAACAATCATGTTAGAACTGGAGCATTATAATTGCTTGGCAAAATAAAAGCATAATTCACTCCTAAAATGCAATTGATTGAACCAAAATAAGGCATTGCCATGAATAGAAGCAATGTATCTATATTGTGCTCTTAAGCGATTGAAAGTGAATTGAAGATGATTGGCGCCAAGCAATCAACACAAGGTGCTTAGTAAAATTATCATCCAAAAAAAAGAAGTCCCTTTCAAACTACAAGTTATGTTCAAGGATAATGAAGATTGTGTGACATGTAGCATCATTCACTCACAAATGATAGTGAATGGTCATGCAAATTGTTTGGTTTGAATAACCCATAAAGAGTATGAATGATTGTGACAATTCATACACAAGCATATGCTAAGGATTTGCGGGCTTTAATGTAATTTGCTTGAAGTAGTTTCATTCAAATGAATTCATTACAAGCCGTAACAACTCAAATGAAGGTGGTGAATGTCACAAACACTCTACAATCAACCATATTCAACCTTACAAAGCAATATAATATAGAAGAAGATTTTGTACAAGTCATGGAGTAGAATTGGGAAGTTCATATGATCAAGCAAACAATTCAACTCCAAAAGATCTGCAATACATACAATCTTTCTACGAATACGGATGTATGTAATAGCATAGTCATTTATGGGTAGATGGTGAAAAGACGTCAGTAAATGCAGTATCCTGAAGTCAATTCCAGTATATAAAGGAAGACATCTACCTACCTACATGCACCAGTGAACGAAATGTACTGAAAAGACCAAGACCACACAAAAATGTATGAGAATACGACAAGTGCAAGCTCCTACGACCCAAAGCAGGAGATTAGTTTAGTGCACTATGATCCGCCCACATAAAGCCAATAATTAGTGCACGACAGTCTACCTGTACAAGCAGCGAACAACTCTATTCAAAACTGCTACGCCACGCCACCGATCTGTAACCTCCGTACAAGCAGACAGAGGGCGTCTTATTCCAAAAAATACCCCCTGCACGTGCACTATAAATTGTATACACATAGGTACACTAAAGGGGGGAAATATATTCTCAAACCCGCATGGGCCCCGGCGAGCGTGTTATTGGTACACACGTGACGTCTAGGGATGCTGCGCGGGTTGACAAGTGAATTCAGGCTCAAACCCGATCCTCCTATACGGATTAATAGGAGTCGACAAGGTTCGAACCAACAAATAAATATGTGGCCGTGGCGACCAGAATATTTATTTTAATACATTCATATTAGACCATCAAGGCCTACAACAATATGAATTCACTAATAAAGGCTCAAAGCCTATAAAACCCGATCCTCTATCAACAGCCCGACAGAATTGACACGGTTTAATCCAAAAAAGAAATGACCCCCAAACACCCCGATGATGGCCGTGTTGAATGCATATCTCAACCGGAGGGGTTCCCCAAATATTTTTCAAATATCTCCAAAATATCCAAAGTCCATTTCAAATACTTATAAAAATCCAAAGCTCCACCCAAAATCCCAGAAAATTCCAAAAATTCAAATTTCAAAAATATTGAAAATATGAAATATAATTATCAAACACTTAAAGCAAACTTCATCCACCCTCCGCAACAGTTTGTCGGGTGGACAAATTTAAATATAAAACTTCAGCTCACAAAGAGCCGAATGCCTAGTCGAAAATATCACTAGGATTCATCCTCAAACAATCTCCTGCTAATAAGGACGTGGTACGTGTCCTCTGACCGGCGTTTGCCGCCAAATGGCACCGCAGGATAAACGGTATGACCCGGGGCCCTCTGAACCGAGTGGTTTTGCCGTCAAATGGCACCACGAAATACCGGTTATGGCCATAGCCAATACGCTCTTTATTGGCATCAAATCCTTGAGATATGAATCAATAGGATATGATCGATAGGGCATAAAGCCCTCTGTAAGCTAAGGTGGATTCAAATTTGTCCCCTTAGACAAACACTCACCCCAGGTCTACAAGGTCCCCTTGGACGAAGCAACCCATGGTGCTGACAAGGATCCTTCTGTCAGTTGGTCGACTAACCTCCTGACTAAGTAGACCAGGGACACGATGACCCGGGACGACGGAACCATGGGATCTTGATCGGGTCCATCATCCATTCCCCCACCATCCGCTTTAAGTGCAAGATGGTGAAATTTCTAATTTTAAATATCAAACCATTTCAACTCAAACTTCCAAATATTTCAAAATCCATATACATTGCTGCTACTATATGCCAAATAACACGTATATCCTACGTATCTGATTGACGACTAGCCTTAATCGAAAGTTCTCTCTCGTGATCGGGAGGGGTAATTAACTATAGGGGCTTGCGCCTATAGGAAACCAGAACTCAGATCATAAAGTCCTCACAAAATGAGGGCGAAATCTCTGGGTAAGTGTCTTATCTACAAACCCATCTGCCTTCCAAAATTTACCTCGGAACTTAGTCCGTTAAAACTCCCTCGCCGAATAAGAAGAGTGAGCGGAGGCCGGGGACGAATTTTCGGAGCCCACATCGACCTAATTGAAAAATAGGTCGGGTTCGGGTTGACCCGTCAGGTTGGCAGACAAACCCATATACCCGTTGAATGAGCTACACTGACGATGCCGCGCGCCCCCTCCCGCCCGAGCTGCTTCCGGCTGCGCACACTTGCCCGAAGCTGTCAGCGGCTGCTCGGCTCCGCCTGCCGCGCCTGCCAGCACCCGCCCGAAGCTGCCTACTCCCGGCCGCACGCACCAACGCCTGCTCGCGCTCAACACTTGCGTTCACGCCCGCCCACCGTCCGCCACCCTACTATCCCGCCGTCGCCGTCCTCGGGTCAAATGTGTCGGGTCGGGTCAACCCGGTAACACGATGGGTCGGGTCCGTGTCCAGATTTTCGACCCATTTATATAAACGGGTCAGGTTAGGGTCGACCTGTTTGAACCCGGGTCAGTTCTGGATTCGAACCGAACCAGACTCTAAACCCGGTTTTAACACCCCCTAGGCATAGCACTCTTTTACAGATAATCTTGTTTCGCACATATCAAAACCTTAAAAAGATAAAGATGAATATCAAGAACTGACAACTAACAGGTTCAATTCAGAGCTCTGAACAGTTTCCTATAATCTGAACGATGAGACAACATTTAAAGCTGTAAATCTTGTCTAAATTACATGTATAGCACTCTTTTATATGTAATCAATCCTGTTTCACACATATCAAAATCTTAGAAAGATCAAGATGAACTCGAAGAACAAACGCCGCTGCCGAGGACTCTTAGAACCGATTAGTGCTGTGGGAAAGGTGAAGCCGGGGCCTTATCCATTGAAGGATTTGCGAAAAGGCGGTCGGCAATAACTTGATTAGCTGCATCAGTAGGATGGTATGCATCCCAAAACACATATTCATTGCGGTTATCACAGATTTTTGAATTAGGCAAACAAAGGCCTCCAACTGTTGTGTCCACATTGCAGCATGATGTGGTTGAGATCTTAAATCCTGCACATATAAGTATAGCTTAGCATTTAGCTTTAGTTGTTTCTTAGAATAAACATTTACTGAAACAAAATCTCTTTAGCCTGATTTTTCTAGCCTTAGGGGGTGTTTGGTATCGGATTTGTCCGTCGTTTTTAGTAGGATTTATCGTAAATCCAGCCAAACGTAATCCGCGCCGCTATAAATCCGGCAAATCCGTAAATCTGGGATTTACACGGCAAAAATTTGGTAAATCCGTCTGAATCCTAATCACATTCCTATTCGGATTTAACGCGACTTACAATTGCGGAACTTCTTCCCCGACGCCCGTGTCGCGATCTGTTGCCAAACAACTTCTCTGAATTTAACAGGATTTAAAATTTGTCATACCAAACACTTTTCAGGATTTATGAGCCTAAGATTTACTAAATCCGGATTTACAAGATTTAGTCAATCCTACTAAAATTGAATCCAATTCTATACCAAACACCCCCTTAGATTGAGAACATTTTCAGTCTTCTCTAACATCAAAAATTCGTCTTGATGTCTGTTTATATTTTCTTAGTTCAATAATGGAATGCAATGAAAGGTTGAGCAATTTCTAAGTTTGTTGGTATCAAAATAGCTTAGCTTGGAGAAATTATTCCGTGTGGAAACCGGACGCAGAACGTCGTGACCAACCAGAATGCGCCACGTCAGCAGTACCGAGCGGTGCCGATCAGTACCGAGCACAAGGGTGACGTGGCGCATTCTGATTGGTCTTCGGACATCGTTCGGCGTCCGCACAGAATAATTAATCCTTAGTTTAAATCTAAGTTTCTTGATTGGTGACTCACCATATTTCTGTGGATTTTCGATGAGATCGAGGACAATGTTGTAGGAATCAGAAAATGAGAAGAGAGCACCAGGAAGCTGATAGTTGAGGGAGGTCATCAAGCTTCTCACGCGTGAGTTGAATTGAAGTGCCCATTTATTAAGCAGTTGCAGGCATCCTCCATCAGATGAATGCACTCTCTGTGATGGAATGCAACCCATAGGGCCTAAGCCATGAAAAACCACCTTCCTTGCTTCCAGCGAATATAGCCTCTTCTCACAATAAACAAACAGTCATTTCTTTAGATTTCTTCATGCACATATCAGGAACTATTTATTGAGAGAATAGATCCACATTTCAATTAGAGTAATATCAGTTGTTTATGTTGCAGCACTTAATATCGAATTCCTCCTATTTGTTTGTTTTAGGCTTCATTTGGGACGGCTTTCTTTCAACTTTTTAAAGCAAATTTTTAGTACAAAAATGTTTTGAAAGCTGCAAAAAAATAACGGCAAAAGTTGTCCCAAACAAAGCCTTAATCTTTGCTTTCACATTGTTAGATCTAAGCTGTTTTAGAATGATTAACATACTTTAGTGAGAAATAACATATTTCCTTTACAAAGAAGGTTTTTAATCCTAAATATGGTAATTGGTTGAAGTGCTCTATGTTTTAATGAGAAAACTATGTAGAAGTGAAATGTCTTTTATCCTGCCATCAAGTGTCTTACATATTATTAAAATATATTATATTTGGGTAAATTGTCTTATTTTTGGGGCTATGAAAGATGAGTAGTTGAACATAAACATATGAAGGTTGATGTTTATTTGTTGTTTTAGAATCAAACTCATGCAGTTTTTTTTTTCCATAGCTCTAGTTCAGATGACTACTACACTTCTATTTGGTTACTAATTTTCTGTTACCATTCAAAAAATATTTTATCATGAAAAATGAGTTTTTGAACAATCGATATGTTAAGAGTACGGTCTAAAGTTTCGTTTGGGATAACTTTTTTATTATTTTCTAGAGCAACTTTTTAGTACAAATTTTCTAGTTCAAGAAATTTTTATACTAAAAAATTGCTTTAGAAAACAGTAAAAAAAGTTGTCTCAAACGAAGCCTACTAGAGTTGCCGTTCAACATTTTTTAAGTAGGAAATTTTATAATATCCTCAATAATCTTTAAAATAATAACACTTTCATAGTAATTTTATTATCATTTTTACGAACAATTGCAACTGCCTCAAATATGTCACAACAACTTCCACATAAGCCGCTTAAAGTTTTGTTTGGGACGATTTTGTTACTGCTTCTTAAAGCAGCTTTCTAGTATAAAAGTTTTAATTTTTGTATAAAAAAATATTTTAAATAGTAAAAAAGCTGTCACAAACGAAACCTAAGTTAATTTTTGAAAGTACTGTGATTTTTTTCCTTTCAAAATTATACTTATTATAGTAATGATGCAAGAAATATTTTGCATAATATGCTAACCCTCAGTTGACCATCCAATGTAGAAATCAGAAGGTCAAGAAATTGATCATAGGTATAAGCATGAGCATCTACTAAGAATGGCTGTAAGAAATTGTTGATGTAATCGTTGCTTCCTGCAAGCAAAGAATTTAAGCTCAAAATTGGAAAAATTCCTCAATGCCACATAAAAGATGGATTAATTATTCTGTGCGGATATCAGACAACATCTGGAGACGAATGAGAGCGTGTCACGTCACTTTTTTCTGTGTACCGGGTGATGTGGCACGCTCCCATTCGCCTCCTAATGGTCCGGTAACTGCACAAAATAATTGGACGAAAAAATGACACCACAACATGGCTTTTAAGAAAAGTTACCCATTCCAATGAAGTAAACAGCCTCATTCAGCAGCTTCTTGGAGGCTACATCTCCAGTTTTATTTCTGATAGCTTCTGCTGTCTTCTGAAAACAAGTAATTTGATCATCAAAGGATAGCTTCTCAACCTGCCACCACATCATAAAACAATCATAAACATCATCAACTTCTGATTATAATTACATGTATTGCAATGTGAAAACTTGTGATTGTCCTCACAAAATATATTCCTGTTTCATTGAGAATTCCAGCTCCTCCTGATGCATAATTTACACCATGAAGGATTTCGTCGCCATCCAACGACAACGAAAGATACGGCGGCGGAGACTTAATGCCAAACTTAGCAGCTGCATTCACATAACAACAACACAACACAATCAAAATACGATGAACAAGTGAAAAGTAAATGTTTTGTTGATGACAATTACATATAATGTCACCGATTGTTCGCCCATTGGTGAATCTTCCTGTTGGAAACCGTGGGAAATAATCGATACCGTACCACGGGTAGTTCGATTTTGCCAAGGAGTAGGGGAGAAAGTTGTTGTTGCCGACGTCGGTGAGAGAGTCGCCGAACACAAAGGTGACTGGCTTGCTCTGAGCTGAAATGGTGGAAAACAAGGTAAGAGCCATGCTAATGACTGCCATTGCTATATAGAAAGCCATATTTTGTTAGAGCAATTGCTTGATTCATGTAGATGCACACTATATTTATTATGTTTATGATTTGTATGAGAGGTGGTATTTGTTCCTTTCCCCACGTTTATATCTTTTGTTATTGAAGATTCTTGTAAGAAAATGAATGGAGAAAGTGTGTGTTTTAAATGAGAAATAGTAGTTGTGGTTGTTGAGGAATTTCGTCGAACAGTTGGCTGATATGGCTTCGTTTGTTTTGGTTGAGTGGAGTGAGCTTGCTACAAGTGTGTTTCTTCCTCTTTGGGTTTTGCCATTTTTCTCTTTTTTTTAGGGCTACAATAGTTAGTTGGGTTATTGACTCATGGGATTAGTAGATATTATTGTTGAGTGGATTTTTTGGCTAAACCTAAAATAGATTATATATATATATATATGGAAAAATTAAAAAGAGGAAAATGCATGAGGCCTTTGGCTCAATTGGAATGATTCTACTAGTGTGAGTTGTGGGTTAAAAATAAGGCCCCTCTTTATAATTGAGAATGCACTAATAAAATATAACAAAAATGAACTATGAATGATGGTCTTCATTATGGAAATTGGAAAAGCTTTGAGGTTTTGGAGTTAATCTTTCAAGTTTTGATATTTTAGGTGTGGTAGGAGAGATACACTGCAAGAAAATTGTCTATTACAGGCGGAATTTTCGATGGAGGATTTTTCGGCAGATTTCCGACTGATTACTACGAAATATTTCCAACAAATTTCAAGCAGATTTTTCGGCGGTTTTTTTTCCTGGCTGATTTTTCAATGGATTTTAATTATCTTTGAAAATACAATTATTTGTAGTTTAATTAATTAATAATTTTATAGTTTATTTTAATTAAGTATTAATTTAATAACATAGTTTAATTAATTGATACTTAAATAACTTATTTTGATTATCAATTAAAATAATAAATTTTAATTAATTAGTTTTAATTGTAATATTTTATCAATTTTAATATAAATACAAAATTTATCTATTAATTAAAACAATTTTGCAAGTATAGCGTGGTGGTCGGATTGATGCGTGCGAAATAGGAAGGGCTGGATTCGAACCCTTCCCTCTACAGAGGTCCTCGGTTTGATTCTTTGAGCGGATGGGAGCGGGAGCGACTATGTGGGCTCGCTAGGCGCGAACGGGATAGGTGCGGGCTCAAAATGGCCCGTTGGGATGGCTACGATGGCTCGCTGGGCGCGAATGAGCCCGTGCGCGGGATGGACCACTGGGATGGCTACTCATGCGGGAATTTATTGTTTAAAAATCGTTTTATTTATTCCTACTGATCTTTTCCGCCGGACAGCAGCCAAAAATAAATTTTTACGGGTTTTTTTCAACGGATTTTTTTCCAAAAACATTTTCACCAGAACTCTGTCAAAAATTTTAAAAATCCGTTGGAAACTTCATAATTTTCCGTCGAAAATGCGCGACTTTCCTGTATTGATATAGGACTCTGATATAGGGCGACCTGATAATATTTTAGGTGTGGAGATTATGACTACAGGATGACAGAATGGCCATTATCAAGACATGAACAAGGATATGCTCATGAAGTACTTGTGGATACGACTGATATGATTTTGTGTTATTTTTTAATTTTATAAGTTAAGCTTTCTGATGAGATTTTGAATTTATTTGAAGTTATCTATGATTTTTAGTTGTTCGAATACTGATTTGTCGATTTGATTTATAAATTTTGTTTAGCGCATGTTATCTCTCTAATTGATATAGAAATGTCGGGGATGATATTTTTTGAGAATGGAGAGATTGTAACAACTCAAAGACGAAAAATATTTTAAAGTAAAAATTTTTGAATTTTTTTTTTTCGAACTAGAGCACTTTGGCACCATGTTTGTAGCGCTGATGTGCTAAAAACTAACGTTGCGATGTTTGAGTCTCTGTTCCATAATAAATTTGGATTCAACATATAACACTGTGGCATCGGGTATGAGCATTGTGGTGCTATTAGCAGTGTTTATATATATATATTTATTATGTATATTTATGTCATTTCACCTCGTCGCATCCCTCTCTCTTTGCTTGGCCAAGAAGATACATAAGAAAGAAGAGGAGAGAGAATTATCTTCGGGTGATTTTCATCTATTATTTTTTAAAAAATATATATTCTAAGCATAGTAAGTAATTATTCTCTTACTTCTATTATCGATGATTTTAATTTCTATGAATTTTATCTCTAAAAAATCTATAAAAAAATACATTATCTTCTAATTTTTTAAGCTTTCACTGTGCAAATTGTGATATGCTATAAATTTCATCATTCTGAATAACTTGATATAATTTTATTATATTTGTACCTGTTAAATATGTATGTAAGAATTTCTGAATAAAATGAGTTAGGAAAAAATTATACTAAAAATGAGTTGAAAATGATGTACTATGATGTGATTTGATTGATATGTTCTGGAATGTAATACTAATTTAATTGAAGGAATGCATTGATTAATATTATATATACATGAAATGATACGTGATAACGTCAAGATTCACATATTCGTCGATGGGAGTTATAAGGAGATGAAGACTGGTTGAGAGTTATGAGTCGGAGCAATTGATTGCGAGTCATAAGTGCATGAGAAAAATATCCTTAAGTATCCTCATTTAAATATATGATAAAATTTTGATTACTAATTACCGATACTAATTATTGATTATCGACAATGATTGCTGAATGCGAATAATGATTACTATTACCGCTTACTGTTATTGAATACCTATATTTATACTACTGCATAACTGATAAACTTACGAGAATGGTTCAATGATATGACTATATGAAACTGATTGTATGATAAAGAGAGAATGATTATTTAATACAAGTGACACGTATATATATATATTGATTATAGTGCAATGTGAATTATGTTTTTTCATTGTTTAAATTTATTTAATGTAATTAATTAGCTATAGATGTCAAATTGATCCAGTTGTAAATGAATATTGTCTGTTATTGAGAAATAAGAAAGAAATAAATCAATAAAAAGAGCAAATTAAAAGAAATTCTTTCACTTTAGATCTCGAGATGTGACACCTGTTTAGCTGTTATAGGTCGTTGTAGTTTTGGTTCTTGTTTTCAGGATATAATAAAAGGATGGAGCCTATTGATTAATAGTTAAAGTCTTAAGGATATGATTTGAGTTTATAGATATTTGTCTATTTTTTATTTTTTTACAATCATGAATAATTTTTAGATGTCTTACTCTTATTCAGTAGCTATGTACTGTAGTATAGATCTTGAAGATATATTTTGTTAAAATAATATATATATATATATATATATATATATTTTGTAGATGAGTTTATTTTCAGTACTTCGAATGTATTTAGTAGTTATGCAATCTATGTTTATTTTATAATGAATATTTAAAGAGAATATGAAATATTCCAAAACTAGATTTTGGAATTTATCTGCCGCAGCCCAACACAATAGGATCTATCATGATCGGATTGGGTTGAGGTAATTATGGTCCCATGCTTTCTATTTGGTTAGATTTCTAATGGGAGCATTATGAGATTGAGTCTCTGAGTGCCGCGATGCTGAGTAAAAAATTTCAATAAATAATGATTTCCACTAAATTTTCCCTAAATCAATTCATTTCATTCCCTTAGACTGTCGACTAGAGAGAGAAAGAGATAAGGATTTTTAGAGGGAGAAAGTCTATTTCAAGCAACTTCAGGTCATTTTCGTCCATTGGACCAATTTATAAAACTGTCCAGGTCGAGGTAGGTTACATTTAGCCTTTCTCAATTTTTAATAATTCAAAATTTTCAATATTTCCTAACATTTTAATTATGATTTTTATGCAAAATTTGGTATATCATATCAGTCGATAAATTTTCACAACGTATTTTTTATTACAACGTAGTTGACAATATTCTGCACATTCTGGCATTTCACTTGTAAATTTTCACCAGGTAATTTTAAAATACATATTTTAAATGATATGAAAAAAAATATTCTGACACGTATTATTATTTTGCTTCTTTACTGTAAATATTTATGAGATGAATGAAAAAAAGCATTTAATGACGAGTATTTATATGTTTAGTGGAAATTTAGTGGCTTTTTAATCTATGCATTATTTTAGAAGTTTGGTAATTCTCTCCAATTAGGTCTTGGGATTTAGGTCATGTCCTCATCCGACACAGCATGACCCATTCTATTTATGGGTTATATCGAGTCAAGTTGTGTCATTGTGCGCATCGACATTGGTGTTGAAGGCATGCATATACCTTGTTAGGATGATATGTGCCAACATTGGTGTCAACGGAGTGCATCAACCTTACTACATAACATTTGGTGTTGAAAATATGCATCGACTTTGTTAGCAATGAATGCATCAAGATGCTTGTTAATAAAGTGCATTGCCCTTAGTAGCAATTACGTGCATCAAATTTATTTGGCAGAAAGTGATAGTACTCGGGACATAATGCTTGGGCCACGATAGTCAGTCGTGATGATTGTCCGTGTTAATTGTAAGCAAGAGTTATAGGATTCAATAATTATGTGAGCTCTATCTGAATTCCCCTTTCATGTGTAGGACCGAGGTTGTTTATAATATTTTGGAGTGACTTTTTGGTTATTTTAGCCAAAATTCCCAAACGCTTCATTGTATGGATTCTCTTGGTCATATATTTTTTAGACATTCAAGTTCCTTAATAACATTAAAAGTGAGAGATATTGAAACAATTGGATTCGTTTTACTAAGATGTTTATTTTCACTACAAACATGTTACATTCAGGAAAAATTATTAGGTGCAGAGTGTGCACCGTCTGCACAAGTACTAAGTATCTAGCGGTATCCAGCGGTATTCAGCAGTACTGAATGCGGGTGCCGCTAAGTACCAAATACTTATACGAATGATTCTTCCCGTCCACACTCCGCACCTAATAATCTCTCCACATTCGGAGATCATTTCATCCCTCAACACAATATTACGAATCAAAGAATCTCGAAACATACTGTGGAACCTAAGTTTATAGGCCCATATTTGAGCCTTATGGGCCGGACATCGCGCCTGAAATTCCTTTCTTTATCCCCAAGTTCGGTGGCGAGGTTTAAGCACATCCCATTCCCATTTCTCCACTAGGGTTTTACCAAACGAACTCGCCGCCCAGCTCTCTCCTCCGCAACAAATCAGCAACACTAAACCCAATGGCAGCCGGCGGCGGTCAAGCAGCCTTCTCCTTCCTCACAAACATAGCGCGTACGGCTGTAGGTCTTGGCGTTAGCGCCTCCTTACTTTCCGCCTCTCTCTACACCGTCGATGGTGGGCAACGCGCCGTCTTATTCGATCGCTTCCGCGGCGTCTTGGACGAAACCGTCGGAGAAGGCACCCACTTTCTCGTCCCCTGGCTCCAGAAACCCTACATCTTCGACATCCGCACTCGCCCCCACACCTTCACCTCCAATTCGGGCACTAAAGATCTCCAGATGGTGAACCTCACCCTCCGCCTTCTCTCCCGACCCGACGTACCCATGCTCCCCACCATCTTTAAATCTCTTGGTACTGAGTACGACGAGAAAGTTCTTCCATCAATCGGTAACGAGGTGCTCAAGGCTGTAGTTGCTCAGTTCAACGCCGATCAGCTCCTAACGGATCGTCCTCATGTATCCGCCCTCGTACGGGACGCACTCATTAAACGCGCTCGTGATTTCAATATCGTTCTCGATGATGTTGCGATCACGCACCTCTCGTATGGATCGGAGTTTTCGATTGCTGTGGAGAAGAAGCAGGTCGCGCAGCAGGAGGCCGAGAGATCTAAGTTTCTTGTGGCCCGCGCTGAGCAGGAGCGGCGGGCTGCTGTTATACGCGCAGAGGGAGAGAGCGAGGCTGCTAAGCTGATCTCCGATGCTACTGCAGCTGTGGGTACTGGAATTCTTGAGCTTAGGAGGATTGAAGCTGCGAGGGAGATTGCTTCCACTCTGTCCAAGTCGCCTAATGTCGTTTACCTGCCAGGTGGGAACAACATGCTCCTCGGACTGAATCCTACTGGATTGGGGCAGGGTCGATGATGAATTAGTTGCTGAGATAATAGTGGGAAGTACTTCGATAATCCGTCTTTCATCATCTTTTTTTGCTAAATTTAGTTTTTCTGGTGCTTTATTTCTGTGGTAATAACCCTTCTGAGCTTTTCAAGGATATTGGAAATTTATCAGGCTATTTCCATGAATTCTGTTGAATTTACGCTTTTCAATTGTTTGTCCAGAACTCTTTATGATCTGAATGGAAAATTAGCAATACAAACTAAGGTATAATTGCCAGGTAGAGATACTCCTTTTTATGATATGGGGCATTTGAGATATTTTTATGTGCTATAGCTTTGTGATTAAAATTTTCCGTCATTTATACCATTGTGTTTGCTTTATTCATGTGATGTCTCATTGGTAGTGTGCACTGACAATCTGTTCTCATAATATTTTCTATGTGACCCTGCTTCCAGCCTATCGCCGTATGCCATGTTGCTCCATGGTAGGTATTTTGGAGATGCCTTTAGTAAATGTTTTTATTACAATCAAGTTAAATCCAAATTACTACCTTCTTTATATGTGTGATTCCTCTTACAATATTCTTATTTTTATATGATTTTTCAATTAAGAGTTTGGAAATTCAAAACTCAAAAGTTTGTGTGCTTTTATGCGTTATTACTTTTTAATAGTTCAGTGCAATGCCATCCTTAACAAAAGTAAGATGTTTTGGAAAATATGGTAATCACACTCATTGGAGAAATATGAGATTGATGTACATAGATGCCTTATCACCAAGGATAATTTTCATCAATTAAAAGATCTTTTGATGATGTAACATCGATTTTTTTTAGTAAACTAAATTTTGTATATTGCGGTTGTATTAAATCCCATTTAAGAACTTATGAACTATACTCCATATCTTTGCTTGTAATAGTTGTTGAGAAGATCACATTAAAGGATGAAATATTGCTAAAGAGGAATTTAATGTGCTAAATAAGTGTTCATGGGTTTTAATTTTTAAACATCAAATTAGGTTATTTATTTAGCTTTGATTAATAATGTTCAGCTGGATAAGTGAAATGAAGCAGATATTATTCTCTCAGGGCTGAAGGGGATTCTGCAGGCTAAGGATATTTGTTGAGATTTTTTGTGGCTTGTGAAAAGTATTAGTGATGCACTGCAATGCGGAATGGGATCTTAATCAAATTGTTTCACCCTTTCTTTGGTTTTGTAAGAGCTCTTAAAAAAAGATTGGATTATGTTTAGATAAGTTTGGGATAATCTTCGAATGCGCAGAGAATTTGGTACTTGAAAATACACTTTAACTGTACACTTCGTACGCTAAAAGATGTTGAAGCTTGTGAAATCTAAGACATGACAATTTGTAGTTTCTGATGTCGGGACTTTGAAATATGGGGTGGTAGATGTTCATTAGTTAAGGGAAATGCAGGTGCAAGGGTAAATCCATGGTGCCCCTTGTCTTGTGCGTAAGGACTATGTTTATGGATTTGAGTATTAAACAATAAAGAAGTTGTTCATGCACAAATTGAGTGAGAAAATAAGAATTATAAGATCTATGCAGCATAATTAGGTAGAATAGATTATTACATAATTATAAGTACTGTAAGAGTAGAATTTATTACAGATATGTTTGTGGTTGTTAGAACAGGGTGATTTGGTCATATTGAAGGTAGTTAAAGATGCATCAATACAATGGGTACATGAAATTTATGTGAAAGTATAAGGAAAATTGTTAGACCATATCTTACATTTGTCGAAGTTATGCAAAAACTTTAGGAGCTCTTTGGTTAAGTAAAAGAATGAGAAGTAAAGCATTTACTTGAAAAGTCAATTTTTGAAAAATCTTCGGTTTCATTGCATTGTTTAAAAGATAAAAGCATCCAACAGATATGTAGGAAAATCTATATATCTTTGATCATCTTTCCTTAACTATTAAGTTAATGAGAGACAAATTGTTTCTGCGTTATTATTATTATTTTTTTCTAAAGAGATAATAATAGGTCCAGAGTGTTGACCTGCCATATGATACAATCCTTCACATCTTACCTGTAGTTTTTATTTCTTCTGTTTTCTCTGTTTCTTTACTGATCTTGATCATTGATTTTATTTTTCGGTAAATATCTTAATGATCTTGCCATACTGCTCTGCTCTTTTTGTACTTAACAAGTATTCAAGTTTGTTTGGTTCCTCTAGTGTATATCTATATTGTAGTTAGAGATTCACGGGAAATCATCAGCTGAATGTGCTTCTGATCAACTTGTTTATATCTCATGCAAATGTGAATTAAAGCTATGTTCCATATTGTTTGGTGCGTGAATTTGGTAGATGGTTTTAGATAGATATAGTATTAACCTAGTAGGAATTCTTTTGTATGATTTAGTTTTGTCAACTTCATGTTTTTATTTTGTAGTGTTTTTTCCGGTGGGTTCTATGAGTTGATGGCTTGTATGATTTAATTTGAATTTGGCGTGTTTAATAGGAAACTCTTTGGATTATTGACAGAAATTTTGTGCTCCAATTATACATAAAGAATGCTATAAATGGCTGCTAATAGAAGGTTGTAATTGAAGTTTGATGTGAGATTGTCAAATTTGAAATAGAATTGAAAAATGCCTTAACAATAAATGTATTTAGATTCTCTTCTATTATGATTTTTTTTTTCAAAAGAAGAAATAATATCATTATATGAATTTGATTGTATGAATTTCATCTTTATTTAATTTTTATAATTACTAAATCGTATATAGTTATTTGTTATATTTGATAAATGTCAGCATTATATATTTTTGATAATTGATGTGTCTTGTGTTGTGTTATGTTTGTGTCCCTATACATGTTAGTGCATCATAGATTATGTCATGTTATGAAATTTAAAGAGTGTATTGAAATGTAAATCTATAAAGATTATATCATTATTGAACAATCAATTTTACCTAATATTAGAAATGACCCTTTTATATTAGATATAAATGAGAATTTGGCTCTTAGCAGGACACAACGGAGAAAAATGATTCATGTAGCCGACTCCATGTAGTGGGATAAAGGCTTGTTGTTGTTGTTAGGAGATCCCATTATGGAAACAATTTTTGTGCTAAATAATGAAAAGTATGAATGCAAGATAAATTCTTCATATGAATTTTATTGATCTTAAGATGATTTAGGATCAAGTATCATAAGAATCGATTTCATGCTCATTAGGGCAAAAATTATTAAAGATTTGCATGGAACATTGACCAGTATATTAGTAGTAGTGAAGTTACTAATTATGGTAAAATTACTTCAAGAAATAAGTTCATGGATTGTCTTGTGTGGTTTGGACGTGTTCAATGAAATGTAGAAAAGCACCCATACAGATTTTTTGGATAAAAATTATTGTCAAAGAATTAAGAAGACATGTATTCTAAATTTGCCATGGATAGAAGTTATACAAAATAATTTCCATAGAATAGGGCAAATAATACATCACTCAACAAGAATGATTGTAAAATGATGATTCGTTAATTCAATTTCAAATAGTCAGGCTTAGAATAATTATGTTTGCAGTTTATGTGACTTTACCCTTGGAGATAGGATACAAAATGAGCATATACGTGAAAAGGTTGTAGTAGTGCCAGTGGAAGATAAGATTAGAGAGAGTCGCCTTAGATGGTTTGGTCACATAATACGACAGTCTTCCGATGACCCGGTTAGGAAAATAGAGGTATTAGATTTGACTTGTTAAGAAAGGTAGAGGTAGACCTAAAAAGACTTGGTTAGAAAATATTAGAAATGATATTTCTTTATTAGATTTAAACGAGAATTTGACTTTTAATAGGACACAACGGAGAAAATGGATTCATGTAGCCGACCCCACGTAGTGGGACAAAGGCTTGATGTTGTTGTTGTTGCAGTTTATGTGGCTAATATAGAAAGATTATGGAATTTAATCATTGATAGAGGGGCAAAACACCACCAATTGCTTTCTCCCCCAAAGCTGTACTAACCATTTAACTCTAAGTTTTGCTATATTCTATATCATTTAAGCATTGCTGCTCGTGTTGTAATCCAAGCTGATTCTTTGGAAATCACTTCTAAAATGCAGTCTTGGCTTGCACATTCATTTGCTAACTGCAGGCTAATCTCCTTGAGAAAAGTATTTTCTTCTCTAAGGTTTCGTTTGGGATGGCTTTATTACTGCTTCTTAAAGCAGCTATCTTGTACAAAAGTTTTAATTTTTGTACTAAAAAGTTGCTTAAAGAAGCAATAAGAAAGCCGTCCCAAACAAAACCTAAATCTTGTGACTATAAAGGATAAACTTTTAGTCTTTTACTTATTCTAGAAATTCCTAAGGAGAAGTTCCCCTTTTATTATCTTGCACTCCTCTTAGCAATTGATAAATAGAACAAAAGTGATTGCCAGCCAATTCTGGACAGGGTATCTTTAGAATTAAGCGGTTGAAGAAAGGAAAATTCTATCAAAAATTGGTCAGGTCCAACTAGTTATATCAACCCTTATGTTTTTAAATAACTTTTTTGCTTCAAGTTTTTAGCCTTCCTGACACAATTCCTAGGCACATATCGAAACTACTGCTCTCAAGTTTATCAATGACGCTGATGGAAGCAACTCTTAGTAGAAGGATTTTTGTAGGCCTAAGGTGAATGTTGGCTTATTAGGCTTCTCTATTATCAATGAGGGTAGAACCCTAAAATGATCTCTGGATTTTTTCCTTTTTTATGTGGCCATTTTAATCCGTGTTTAAAATTTCTCTAATTTAATCCATCAACCATATAAAATTAATCTAAAATAGTTCCATTGGGACTAAATTGGAGTAATTTTTATGGTAGATAGGGGTTTCAATTCGGTCAACGGGTCGTGTTCGGGTCGAGCCTAAAACTGACCCGGCACTGTTCGGGTCAACCCGAACCTGACCCGTTTTTAAAAACGGGTCAGGTTTCCGGACCCGAACCCGACCCGATTCAGGTCTGGATCAACCTGACCCGACACGAATGACTCAAAGTTGACATAAAATTGCTAGTTTTCGGGTCAAAAAGCAGGTCAATCTTTGATTTTTGGGTCCAAATCGGGTCAACATGGGTCAATCTCGGGTTTCCGAGTCAAATAGGAGTTTTCGTGTCATTTTCGGGTTGCTGGGTCAACCCGAACCCGACCCGTTTCGGTCTCGGTCGGGTTGACCTAACCCGGATTTTTCTGGTTCGGGTTTGGGTCGTGTCAAAAATTGACACCCCTAATGGTAGAGGAACTTTAGTTTTCATTTTTACAAAATGTGCATGGAAATGCTT